GTTTTTATGTTTGCTAGAGAAAAGGATTAGAGTTGGGGGTTTCAAGGGGTCTAAGGAATTAGGTACCTAGTTTCCATTAAAATGGGTAGGTGGGGAGCCTGCTTCTGTAGTCTGCTTTGAAAATCCCATCCTAGACTTGCCCCCTGAAATGGAACTGAAGCATCCTGTCATGGAACATTCATTAAATGTTTTACAAGGAGAATACTTGAAATCCGTCAGGAGCAGACATGAAAACATGCATAGGGGAAGCGATGGCATCCTGCTCCCAGAGAGGTTTGCGCAAGCCCGTGCCTTCAATTCTCCAGCCGTCTGATGGAATTAATCACGTAAAAGAAACAAAAATGTAAAATAGTGCTGCTGGGGAGATGAATGCTGATTTAATGGGCAAAGAAAGTTAAATCAAAGGCTATTGTACAATCCAGTGAGTGCTACGGGATAATTAAGATTTTCAGCTTTTGGCAACATCTTCACAATAACCCAAATGAGCTGACAGTAGATGGAAGGAGACAAAAGTTAGAGTGCCCAGGTCTTGGCATACAGATAGAACTAATGTTGGCAAATGGGCTGAACGTCAAGACATAGAGTTGTTCAGGGGCCTGGCTGATAACTTTCATTACATGTTTGATTGTGTGTAGGAAGAACAAATGGGGGAAATGCTGGAGATTTCATAATCTCTCAGACATTTTGCAGGAAGCTAAAGTGGTAAGCCATAGCCTGAAATCGTGTAGATCATAATGCTACGGGAATGGCAACACCAGGTGTATTTTACCTTTAATTTGACTGCTCCAAAAAACCTAGATGAAGCATCTTGGAGATACAGAGAGCTTTTTTTCCACTGTTTTTTTCCAACACACTAAAGAGATGTAGAGCCCATTGAAGTCAATGAGAACCTTTCCATTTACTTCAGTTTTCTTTGGATCAGGCCCTCGTCTCTTTATCAGTATTCACCTGGAAAGAACAGAACTGGGCTGTGACATGAAATACACATTTCCAGAGCTGCTTCATACTGTATTTTAGAGATTCAGTGTGTCTCATACTTACATTGTTATGACTATAGTCAGACCTGGCCCGTGTACTCTAAATTTAGGTTCAGTAGGTTACAGAACCATGTATGGGAGCATTATTCTAGTGTGGACTGAAGCTCAGAAGCCCAAACTATGTATAATTATTTTTATTGAGGTGATGATACTATATCAATCTATATTTCCCAATGCTCTAGTGCATTGGAGGAATTAATGTTGGACTATGTTAACAAGAAATAGTAATAAAAATGTAAGAATTTTTCCCTAATCCCATTTCCTGATTAATTACTTGTTTTAAGAATGGGAAAAAAGTAAGTCACTAACATTTGATTTCACTTTGGTTAATGAAAGAGCTGGGGGATCCTACCTGAATTTCTAAAAGGGGACAAAAAGTTTTTGAAGGGCCTTGTGTGAGAGATGATTGAGTTATTGTGTGTGTAAGTAAAAGACACAGGATGCAAAGTGTGCACAATTTCCAGCAGCAGGGAATATTTTTCTAGCCTTTTATTCATTTCCAAATGGAAAGAGAGTTACGGAAATGTGAGCGGACATTACATTAAATGCTTGAAATATTCCTTCCCTATAGACTAATAAAGGCATGCGTCTTCCATCAAGCAAATTTAGTTTTCTGAAAGCCACACGAAGAGAGATCTGAATCAGTGAACTACACAGCTGCAGTAGGATCAGCATTTGTGTTCTCTAATATACTCTGGTGAGGGTGGGCATAACCTCTTAGCTTATCTAGTCGTGTTCTCTACAGCATCTTATTATGCAAATCAGTAATGGAGTTTGAAACCAAGCCTGTCATGTAGTTCTTCGGTCTATTTTCCTACCTTAATGGAGACTGAAAGGCATGCTAACCTTTTCAAAATGCTTAGTCTATTTGCATCCCTCCAGTAACAACAGTCAAGTGGGATAGGTCAGCAATGTGACCTGCCTTGTTTATAATGTGGTTATAATGGTTACGATGTCATCGATGGCTATAATTTCGTATGGATTCTAGACATCTGTCTTTTTAAAAAATCCAACCTTCAATCAGTGTGAAATTTAAATTTGCAATAGTAATAAACGCGATTTCAAGAGCTGTTTGGGTCGGGTCCCTGCTGAGGGCACTGAGGATGCTAAGGCATAAACAGGGAAATAATAAAGTGCAGCTGAGTTTATTTCTGTTCCATTAAAAATACAGGAGAAAGAATCAATATTTCTTTCTAGGCCCTTGGTAGTGGAACATAAATAATTCAGGGTAAAATGGGAAAAAATAATAAAAAGGAATTGGCAGTGCCCTTTTACTCTTTTCCTTTCTGGGGGAGTTTAGATGGAGATGCTCTGTTGTTTAAACTTTCAGACGTTCCCTGGTTTTCGTTCAGATGCTCTCTTTTGTATTGGGTCCATGTTTCAGACCTGCTGTCTTAGAAATAAAATGTAATACTTGGTACTTACATACTTTGCACGTTTCATCTAAGGATCTGCAAGCACATCTCAAAGGTGGATGAGAATGATTTGTCCTCATCGGACAGATGAGAGAAATGAGACACAGTGAACTTAAATGCTTTGTCCAAGGTCAGACAGTAAAGACTGGAATCAGCTCAAGTCTCCAGATTATTATTATACTTCATTTGTTTTCTGTAATTCTTCTTACCATGTTTGCTCATTTACAAAGTTATGGGCCAACCCAGAAGTCCTTTACTCTGGGAAAACAACTTAACTGGGAGTTATGCCTGAGGAAGAACTTCAGGATCTGGCCCATTGAGTTTTAATGAGGGCTTGTTCCTTTACAACCCTTCTTCTTTCTACTTGAGGCAGAAGGGAAGCTATCATACTGAATTTGTGACATCACATTTACATCTGTAGCTATTTCGACATCATTTATATAGAATTATGACCACTACTAGGTCAAGGAAAATGAGACTCTGGGTTAGAACAAAGCGAATAATTCACAATTCATTCAACAAAGGTAACCTCTTTTAATGCTTGTGGAATATCCATTAATCAAATCAGAATTTCTTCCAGTTCATGCATTATTCAAGTTTATTTCATTAATACTTTTGCATTTTTTTATTCTATAGCTGAATTGGGAATTTTCAAAATTTAACCTGGGTGTCTTAATTAGGATCAGTCAGATAAATCACATGGTATTCTTTTCTGTTTGGGTTTCATGCTGAGTGACTGTTTCCAGATATGACCTTAATAATGGGTTGCTGTCTGCTCCACATAGAAGTCCCATGGCAATATTTTTAAGGAAAGGGGCTGGCCCGAGTGTCCTCATCTCCCATTGCTTTGCAAGGTGCTGGCTGCCAATAATGCAGGGGGCTGCAGCCTGCCACCCCAGATGTGACTGCATTTCAGTGGTTGATTAAGTGATCACTGTGGGTGGGATTTCCATGAGCTATTTGAAATTGATTTTACTCTCTTCTTGTCAAAGTCAGTGCTAAAACTCCCACTGACTTCAGTGGGAGCAGAGCTCGAGCGCTGTTGAAAATTCCATCCTGTATGTGCATTGTAGCATGCTTTGGGAGCCTTGTGGATGAAAGGTGCTATCTAAATGTCAGATATGCTACAGACTGCAAGGTTGGGGGACAAGGAAATATATGGTGATCGGCAGGGTCCCTGTTCTGCTCCCACTGAAGTCAAGGAAGCCTTTGAAACAGTCTTCAGAGGGAAAAGATTTGGGCATCTAAGGAAGTACATTAGATAAAAGGAATCACAGAACTGTTGTTCTTGTTATTGCTCTTGTGCAAATTTTAACTGTTAATGTGGTTTAGGCCGTTGATGAATTTCCCCCTTACACTCTTCTGGAAATAGTGCATTAAGTTGAGCTATGGTCACGCTGTTGGGGCCTTTGGTACCCGCAACCACTGAGAAATCGAGACTGTGATTTGTGGCTGCTGTTAGTGAGAAGCTGTTGGAGAGCCCTGGCTAGTGTGTGCCCTGCCTGTGCTTCTAGACAGAAGGAGCTAGCTGATTTCCACTGGCTTCCTTGTGTGGGGAGGGTACCTGAACAGGCCCATGCCAGGGAGCCAGCGCGTTCCCACATTGCAATGGCTGCTCTTATTTATGTCTTTATTTATTTCCCCGCCGATGACTTGAAAATGGAATATTTAAGAATGGCCAAAAGCCTGTGAGCTAAAGCAAGAGGGTCAAATCCAGCTGTGTAACGCCATTGAAATCAATGCGTTGAATCTGGATCAGAGTGCTCAGCACCGTGGGATGTATTTAAAGGCTACGTAATGGGATGTGTGGGATGCTTCATAAGCGGATTGAGAACAAAAACCGTTTTAAAATGTTATCCAAAATCTCTTTTAATCCGGTTCCCCCCCCCCCACTCTCACACAACACACATGTTCCCACACACACACACATACCACACTCACAAAATGACACCTGCTCATTTAATCTGGCGTTTTCTGCAGATGTTATAGGTTTGATTACCAAATATGCTGCAGTAACTAAGGAGAGGACCAACCCGAACCCCAGAGCCAAACACCCTAAAACATTGGGAAGTTCAAACCAGACTCACCTCGCACAAATGTTTTTAAATAACAGGTTGGTCAGATTACACCAGTAATAAAGATGACAGTTCCTACAGCATGATTAGACTTCAGTGCAGTATCCATGGTAAAGAGGGAAGTGGGATTAATCATTTAGGCCTGTGCAAAGGGAATGCACTGTGGGTGTGAAACACTGTCAGATCAGAATTCTCCTGTCCCTGGACCCTGGTGGGGATATGTAACACCCACTGCGCGGCCACTGCATTGGTGCATGTTCTGATGCAGGGTGCAATCTGAACACAAACTAACACACACAGACACAAGTATCTTACCTGCACTTCAAACAGGCTTCTAACTTTGTGACCTTTTTTCAAAGCTCAGGAGAAACTAGAAGCACCCATGGCCGAGCACACACATCCTACAGGCTTTCTCAAGAGTGTTCTTCTTTAAGCTCCCTTCTCATTTGCTTTCTCTTGTGCTCTTATTATAGGGCAATCCATTGTACTTCCAATCTGCCAGAAATGTTACAGTGAACATTCTCAATGAGAAGACTAAAGTCCTTACTCGTCTTGTAACAGGTAAGGAAGAGAAAACACCAGAGGAAAGAATTAAGACGACGTAAAGGACCCTGTGCTGTGGGATAATTTATTATCATTAAACAGTAGAGAGGAGGATAGCTAAGGCTTCTAGTAAAGTACAAGTTAAAAGTTAGCTCCACTTTGTAGAAACAAAAGATAAGAAGGTTAGAGCTGTGCTGGAGAAGAAGCTGGCTGCACATATCTAATAAGGAAGCAGAAAATCATTGTCATTTGAAAGTCAATCCAGATAGTTGTATGACTTCAGGGTCAGGAAGAAAATATTCACCCTGACATTTCATTTGTAACAGGCACAGGATTGTCCCAAGATACTTTTAACTGGCCTAAGATCTCTAGAACTCTGTTGGTTAGCAGCAGCTCCGCACATGCGCTCTGCAATTGACTGCTTTCCAAACCCAAAGCCCCTTCTGCTGCTAAAGACCCCTTATTCGTGCGAGCATTAGCACTTCATGTTTGATGGGGAAACCAATGTTTCAGGAATCCACAGCACGGGTGTGTCTTTGAGAGCATGGGTGATTTGTGTCGAGAGCACAGCATGTAAAATGCTTAATATACAAATAGAGCAGTCTGTGGCCAGGGAGAAGTATTGCTGTGTGGCGGAGCCGATAATCCATAAAACATGTTGTTTCTACATGAGTTTGGATTGTCTGGCTGGCTTATGTAACACCTGACCTCCAGTCACAGTGCTAAATAACCAGCTTCAGTAACCAATGACTTAAGGCGCATGTGAAAATTGCCTTGAGGAGGGAAATAAATTCAATCCTGAGCTCCCAGATTCTGCCCTTCAAAAGGAACTTGTTTACTTTGTTGGTCATTTGCCATTTATTTCCCATGGAATCTTTGTGTCACTTGAGTGACTCTGTTTTGATAGACCTTGGAAGTGTCTAGATGGCCGTTAGTAGAAGTTACAGCAACTCTGTAACACACACACACGCGCACACACAAAGCACACACCATGCCAGCACTGAAATGAGACCCAACACAGCAAACTGGCTAGTAGAGATGCAAGCTCTAGTGAAGGCATTGGAGGTTGACTTTTGGAAAAGATCATAAACTTACTGCTGCCTGCCTGTTTGGCTTGGAATGTCAGATGCTTCTTCACCACGGGGATCAGTGCAACATAAATACCCAAATACTTTTATTTTGATGTATAAAGGCTGCAATCAACACCCATCACATGCTCTGGGTATCTTTGCATACACTTAAAAGTCATGGTAAATTATATGATACCACATAATATAACTGAACCTAAATGTAACTACTCTAAAAATCTCCTGCTCCATAGGTTAGAAACCAACTCCTGATGACAGCAGTAATCATAATCCAATATAGTAGCACCCTGTGTGTCCGTCAGCCCACATCCCCCTTATATGCCTCAGAAGAAGGCTGGGATCACACAGCATGTCTCAAACACAAATTCTTTAATGAGGAGTGGGAAAGAGAATTCCACAATTGCGAGGCCTTCATAGAGAACACCCTGCCAGCTGCTCCCATCTCTTTAAATTGAGGGATTTCCAGTTTAAGCAACTCTGCTGATCTCAGCTGAGGTGGAGTGGCATGCAGAGCGAGGCTGTCTTCTCAGGGAACCGGTTTCCACATAGGGCTTTACCGGTTAAAACCAACATCGGGAACTCCACACAGAGAACTCCCAGGCTGCCAGCTCATGGAAAGCTGATGATGTGAGATCTCAGTGTGACACTGATTAGTAGGCAGGTGCTGCATTCTGCACCAATGTCAGTTTCCAAGTGGTCTTAAGATGTAGTCCCGTATTGAGTGCGTTGCAGTCGTGGGTAGGTAGAGAGAGAAATTTGAACCTAAAAGCTGCCAAAAATTGTGAGATTTTCTCAGAATGGTTTGCAGGATCCTTTAGTGTTTCCACAGAATTAAACAATTTCTACCTTCTGTGCCCACCATTGTGCACACAGTTAATGGTTTGTGCACTCAGGCAGCGCTGGCATAAATGCTAGTGCACACAACTGCATGCGGAAGCAATTGTGAGCACACAATGTTTGAGCCCACATTTAAAAACCTTGGCCTTTCAAGAGTCGTTTCTTTTCTCTTCTGCGAAGTGAGACCAGTCAGGGAGACAGTGAGAGAAACATTTGGGGCTGATCATCTGCCATGAGCAGTGGCAAATCCATCCGGTTTTGTTGTGCGTGGCGTGGGGTAGGTAGGAGAGGAATGTGAAGTGGTGATTTTTACAAGTCGAGTCCAGGTCAGGTGGCAGAAGGGTCAGCTCCTTGCACTGCTGAGCCACAGACCAGCATGGAATGGCCACGAGGGCAGAGAATGTTTGTCAGGCTTTGGAACGAAAAGCATCACCACAGACTTTTCAGCATTAGATTGCAGAGCATATCAAGAGACAGCAGTAGTATTAAGATAAGAGCTAAATACTGGGGAACTATTACGCATATAAAACTTTCTGAAATGTCAAAGGTGACTGCCCTTTATTTTGTCTTGTACACACTGGAAAGCCAGTCACTTAGGGCCTCATCCTGAAGGATGCTCATTTGAAAATGCTCATCACTTCTCAGGATCAGACTCTTAGTTCTGTACCTCATCTGCTCCTGTTGATTTCAGTGGAACGGGCCATTAGGCTACAGTTCAAAATGAAGCACTTGTTCCTGATTTTTATATTCCTTTTGGATTGGAGCGTGTCAGATACCAGCATCAGTTTATTCGGGGTAAATTTGATTTACATGGAAGTGAGAGCCAAGCAAAGAAAGGGCAGATGTTGGACTTGCTTCCTTTCCTCCTTTTCATACACTCACGCCTTGCAAAAAGCTTGGTACCTGGTACAGCTGTGCCAATGCACTTAAATCAGGGCCGGTAACATTCTCTGCTGTTTCATGCCTGGGTCTTTCTTTAGCAGAAACTCTCAGTTGTGACACGTTGCTTGATGGTTTTGTAATGTCAACAAATGTTCATTTAAGGCGTAGAAAGAAATCATGGTAATTTTGATAGGGCGGGTTAAACATCATGTCATTACCCTTTCCTAAGGACAAGTCACACTCTCAAGAGGAGAAATCTCTCTGTGGTCTATCAAATTGTAGATCATACATGCAGAGTTACTGGGATATTCTCAACACTCAGATTTGTTACATTCATAAAAGTACCGTATGGTTTTCTTCAGAAAACATGGGCTAAATCTTTTCTCCCGTTCTAGGTCCCCAAGCAGTGGAAGCACACAGCCAAAAATTCGAGGTGAAATCCCTCTCTGGAAAATTGCTGTTTTCTGCAGATGACAACGAAGTGGTCGTGGGAGCAGAGAGACTGAGAGTTTTAGGTAACAGCTCTTAGACAAATCAACTGTTTAAAAACTGATCTAAACTTCTCTGAAAGTTTTCTAAGAGTTTGGTCGAGCTCGGTTTGAAGTCAACACCAAAACTCTTGTTGACATCAGTGGGGGTTGTTGGATCAGGCCTTGGGAGACTGGCCTGCTCATGGGATTGGTAATGGGACTCACTGCCTTGCACCTACATCTTTGCTTTCCATGTGCCTCAAGCGGATTCTGACCTTTGCTGCCATCTGATGGCTGTTGGCTAGCCTTCATAATAAGTTACTGCTGGCTGCAATCCAGCTTCACTGGAGAAGTAAATAACTAGTTTTGGCAGGCTTAGCAGAGAGGCCAAACACTGGATGATTTTGGAGGCTGAGCTAACCGCTCAATCCTTTGGGTCCAAGATGAAGGATGACGATGGGGCAGCGTGGGGGAGCTTTCACGGCCACAGTCACTGTCCTGGGAATAAATAGAGGGCTCCAGTCCTGTTGATCTGGTCCCTTTCACCAGCCCTACATTCATTCTAAAGCAATACGATTTTTAGAAGAACTGCTGCCCACATCGTATTTTTAGTCTCCTTACTAATTTCCTTGATATTCTATGAGCCTTTATCTTATATTACCTAATTTTTCCTTAATATCCATATGAGAGTTTGGTGTGTCTTGGTGTGGCTTTTTTGCTGGCATGGCTTAATCCACTAGACCCAATAAGGGATTCACCCCCTTGGCAGGCAGCCAGACCCTCCACTGTTGTCCTCCACTGGAGTTCTTCAGTAATTCAAGGTAGGTCGGGGTAACTTGAACTCCCACCAGACTCTATAGGAGTCCTACTGGCAGGATTCTCTGTTGGAAGCCACCGAATTGGTGCATCCCTCTGCTGCTCCTCCTCTTTGACCCGCTTCATTTACTTTGAGGGCTGTGCTTGTCCTGAAAAACCTCTCCCCTATAAACCAGGGGTTTGTCTCTTTATGCCACTGCAGCCTGGATCAGCTAACTCCCCAGAGTTTCCTGCACCAGGTCCTTCTGTCAAAGTTTACGCTGGCATTAGCTTGTGAGTATGAGTGGTGGAATGTCTGAGCAGCCTTTGTGCTTATTTCAGTTAGGTGGAGAAGAGACTGTTGAGGTGTTTTTAATAATTTTTAAACATTTTTTTCTCATACCGGTAGTTATAGATTGTAACCCCTTTAGAAGCGTGAAGGTTTTTCACCTTCCTCTGCAGCATGAGGCCCGGGTCACTTGCAGGTTTAAACTAGTGTCAATGGTGGATTCTCTGTAACTCGAAGTCTTTAAATCATGATTTGCAGACTTCAGTAACTCAGCCAGAGGTTAGGCAGGTTCGGTGGCCTGCCATGTACAGGAGGTCGGACTAGAACATCATGATGGTCCCTTCTGGCCTTACAGTCTATGAGCCTAAATCTGTTGCCTTCCAGTACGGTGCTTGCTGTTTGGTTATCGTAGACTTGCAAAGGAGTATTGGGTGGAGGATGTTTTTAATTGAGAAAAAAGAGCATTTAAGTGTTTGTTTAAAAAATAAAACAACCCACATATCTCTGTAATATACTTATCTATATCTATCACTTTCTGTATGGAATATATATATGTTTATATGGATTTTGTAATATGAGGCTTTCCAGACTTCATGGTGTGTCTTTTTTATAAGAAAATTTAAAAATTGACCATTAAAGCAAATGTGCAGTTTTAGAGCAGTAGAATATATACCACAAAGCTAGGCTGTGAACACAAGTCTCCTATCCTCCACTGCATTTTTCAGAGATATTTGATCAAATCCATTCTTATGAATTCAGGAGCTGATCAGTCTAAGTATTCTCCTGGAGATCTCAGAGTAGAAGGATATTTTAGACCATTTTTCTTGGTCAAACAAAGTGATAATTAACTGATAAAAAGTATTCCACAGGTTGCAAATACTCCTTTTCAGATGACATAGCTCGAAAAATATTTGTCTAGTATTTACTTGAATTGCTCTGGAGGAACCAGCAGGAGTTTTAGATATATCAGTTTGAGTTTATGCCTCATTTTAGTCACTGGAACCTAAGGCGTGGGGAGCTTGCTAATGCTAGAGTGCATTTTTATTTATGTTTGCAGCAAAATCTCTCTCAAGGTTTTATCAGGCTTAGGCAGAGACATGAAAGAAGAAAAGATACGGGGACAGGAGAATTGAGGTTATACTGTACAGTATTTCAGTAACCTTGAGCTGCAACATTTTCAGCGTTTGTGTTGGGCTTTGATTTTTTTCGCCCTCATTTCTGTAAGCTAACTGCGTCTCAAAAAGTGGTTGCCACAGCTGCTTAGCATACCAGGAGGTGTTATACTGTATGTTTGTATTCCTTCCAATATTCTTGTCAGGACCTGAGGGTCAGGATCCTGGATGAAGATAGGCAGGAGTAGTGGCAGGAGTCGGACTCGAGCCGAGGGACAGAACTAGAGGCGGGATCAAGAATTGGGCCGGGAGTCAATACCAGGGATCCGGATCGGTGCTGGGGCTCCGGGGATCGATGGAAGTCAGCATCTAAGTCAGAGGCGAGGACAATTCCAGGAGTTCAAAGGCAGAGAAGCAGGACAGTGATGGCAGCTAAGTAGGAATCCACATTGTTGCCTGGACACTTCTAGGAGCCAGTCAGGGATCACTAAGACCACTGGCAGTCGGATCACTTGAGGCAGAACTTACTGTAGTGTGCAGCCTCTGAGGATTGTGGGTCACAGGGGGGTGGCAGTGTGTGGATATTGGTTACCTATCAGCCCTGCTGGCCCAGGTCCAAGTCCCAGGGATCCTTACTTAACCCTTTTCTCTTTGGGGTGCCCCCACCAAGCTGGTTTTGTCTGGCTGGGCTGCATGGAAGGCCGCCATGCGGTTTGGTGCATGTACCTGGGACGCCGGCTCCCAGGATCGCTCCTTGGGACCGTAGCCTTCCCAGTCAGTGAGATACCAGAGGGAGCCATGTTTTATTTTAGGGTCCAGTATTTCATGGACTGCATGTTCGCCGTGACCCTGGACCTGAACTGGGGGTGTGGGAAGGCAGTTGGATTCAGTTCACAAAGGGGTTGTCCACATCTGGCTTCAGTAGAGATAAGTGGAACATGGGGTGTACCCTGAAGGATCTGGGCAGAACGGTCCCAATGTTGATCACCTGCCCGATCAAGGATGGGCCAAGGCACCGGTGGTCCAGTTTGCAAAAGAACCAGTATCTTGGTCCGAGGTTGCAGCCTAGACGGACTGTCTTAGTTGAGGTGTGTTGGTAGGCCATCCGCGTTCTTCTCAAAAGCATCCATGTAGTCATGGTACTTGGTGGTGGGAAGAGCAGGAATCAGCCCCTGACAGTGGTCTCAGCTGGGCCACAGCCTGGGTCCCGAGTGCAGGTGACCTGGACTTGAGCTAGAGTGGTATGTTTTGAGGCCAGGACTCATCCAGTGGTGCACACAAGCAAACTGCTCACAGAATTCGGAGTGGAAACTGACTTTCCACTCACGCCAAAGGACGTGTGGGTCATGAGTGGCCAGCCACGAGACACCAAGCATCACGGGGGGAAGTGGGCCAAGCAGATCACTCCGAGCCATAGGATTTCTCTTTGGTGTGGATAACAACTTCCAGGGGCACTGTTCCTGGGCCCGAGGACAGGAGCGAGCCATCTATAGTCTCCACAAGGCTGTTTTTTGCTGCACGGGGATAGCTAACGTCTGTGCCATATCAACATCTATAAAATTGTCCTCAGCCCTGGAGTTCATGAGCACCCACTGCGTGGGGATTTGTTGGGGCTTCCCTGGGACATGCAGGCAAATCTGGATTTGCAGATGCAGTTTGGGCTCGCTGTGCATTGGACATGCTTCAGTGAGAAGTAGGGGACAGCCAGCAGGATGGATACCCTGTGGCCTGCCCAAGCCAGCCCTCCTTACTGGGACCGGGCTTGGTGATATCGTGACTTTTTCAGTGTGAGAGCCTCGAAGGAGAGACGGTGAGGGCATAGCCAGATTGCACAGTAGAAACAGAAGCCGTGGTGTTGGTGGCGCTCCCTTTCCTTACAGTTCACATGACAATGGGCTGTGTCGATTTGCATGGGGTGTGGGACTGGAATGGAGACAGGCATTGGGGAATGCCAGTGAGGGGGCAGCACAGCCCCCTTCCTCGTTTTGCTCGCACAACCTTTGTCAATGCGTATGGTGAGGTTGATGAAGGCGTCTAGATTGGTCGGGGCTTCCACATGAGCTAGCTCATCGTTGACGTCTTCATGTAATTCTCCACCAGAATTGGTAGAGCTGGGCTGCTTTGTTCCATTCTGTGTTGGAGACAAGATACTTAGAGTGGGAGGCATTGGAGGTGGCTGTTCCCTGCCCTTGCCATGGTTTTCACAGGGCTGCTTTGGCCAAACAAGCCTGATGGGAGTCATTGAAGATAGAGGGAAAGACATGGAAGAAGGTGTCCCAGTCTGATAGTGTTGGGCTCTGTCGTTCTAATAGGGTGAAGCCGAATCCAGCACCTCTGCCATCAGGAGACTAATTATGAGTCCTACTTTGGCCTGGTCAGTGGGGTGGAACCAGAGCAGAGCAGGAACAGCTGGCGACACTGGTTGAGAAACCCCCTAAACTTTTGGTGATTTCAATTGAAATGCCCCAGGAGGGGGACTGTTTGCATGGAGCGCAGTGTTCTCGTCCCACACACAGGTGGTCTCACGCTGTCTGCTTCTCAGTGGTGTACTGCACCACCCATCACGTGCAGCATTTCTGCTGTGTATCCAGGTGAGCTGCATCGACGGGGTTCTCAGATGACAGCTGCACCTGTTGTGTTTGCAATGTCGGAAGTTCTTCCTGGGGGCTGTCAACTTGTTCAAGCGTGTCTAATATATTTTGGGACATGCCGGATAAGGGGCAGCCCTCTGCCTCCATGCCCCCCCCCCACGGGAGCCAGCCTTCTCCATGGGTTATATGGGGGGTCCAGGCAAATTGTCAGGACCCTGGGCAGAGGTAGACAGGACTAGTGGCAGAAGCTTGGGAGCC